AAAAAAAAAAAAAGGATGAACATTTGTCCGCATTTACCTGGGCAAATTTTACACTTAGTATGTTGAGTATGTGATCTTAATTAATGCACACAGCACTCTGAGATAGAAAGAGGGATGATAGAAATGAACTGTAGAAAATAAAATCTATCTTGTACTTTTTATAATGACTAGTGATTTGATTTCCTCTCATACAGCACTAGAATTGGGCTCTCAAAGTCACTCCAGGAGGGGCGATTTGCTAGGACTTGTAGGAATGCTAGGATCTGATAGGACTCAGCTAATCATTATACTCATGCTCACAGCTAAATTAATAATGCAGATGCAAAGTAAACAAAGAGATGAAGTGCACAGGACCAAGTCCATATGAAGCCAGGGATCCAAAAGTCTCCCGGCTGGGCATGGTGCCAATATCATAATCCCAGCACTTGGAAGTACTTTTTCTAGAAGGAGGAAGATCATGAGTTTGAGGCTAGTCTGGGCTACATATTGAGAGCCTGTCTCAAAACTGAAGAACTTTCTCAAGGAACTTTCATAAGATTCACTGAACTCTTCCAGCACACAATTCCATGGTACATGTAAAATGTTGCCAATCAGGGAACTGGGTTTTTATTAGGATCGATTATGCTATGCCAACCACATACCAAAATTCTAGAACCACAGGCCAAACACTGGTGTCTTACACTTGTAATCTTAGCTACCTAGGAGGTTGAGATCGAAAGATTGAGGTTCCAAGCCAGGCCGGGCCAGAAAGTCTTCAAGACTCCATCTCAAATTAACCAGCAAAAAGATTGGAGGTAATGCTCAAGTGGTTTACAGCACCAGCTATGAGCAGGAAGGCAAGAGTACAAGGCCCTGAGTTCAAGCCCAAGGATGAGCATAAAAACAGTAAATTATAGCATCACAAGGAAAGCAAATGTTTAGCATATATTTTGCTTGTTCAAGCAGATCAGGAAATATGAGCCACTCTTATTAGGGAATGGTAGAAACCAGTTCAAAATCTAAGTACGCAGATGCCAGCCACAACCCTGCTTGTAAGCATAGGAGAAAAAAAGACAAATCACTTGCTTCAGCAGATATTCTGCACATTAACTCTTCCACAGCCTTCAGGTATTTATTTCCTGAATTTGATTTTGAGAGACAGTTCTATGGCACAGTGTAACAGAATTTTCTTCTGAGATACAGGTAAATATAAGCACATAAGGACATTGTTCTATGCTAAGGAATGCAGCTTTCTGCATGTGTGTGCCTATGTATGTGCTACTCTGGAAACTAACCCATCACAACTGCAGATTCCCTGGGAAATTGCCCTTTCTGTTTAGAAACCAAGCTTGGTTGGTTTTGTTGTTTTGTTTGCAAGAACTCTGGGCCAGGGTTCTATCCTTTTGCTCAATGCTAGCATTCTACCATTTGAGCCACAGAACCACGTCTGGCTTTTTCTGTGATTAATTGGTGATGAGTCTGATAATCTTCCTTCCTAGGCTGGCTTTGAACCAAAGCCTCTGATCTCAACCTCTTGAATAGCTAGTATTATAGACATGAGCCACCAGTACCCAATGTTTGGTTGGTTTTATTATTATTAAATATTAGGAAGAAGTTGGGATGCCAGTGGCTCATGCCTATAATCCTGGTTCAAAGCCAGCCTGACCAGGAAAGTCTGTGAGACTCTTCTCTAGTTAACTAGCAAAAAGCCACAAGTGGATCAGTGGCTAAAGTAATAGAATACCAGCATTGAGTTAAAAAGCTAAGGATCAGCACCCAGTCCCTGAGTTAAAGCCCAATATGAGCACAAAAAATTTTAGGAAGGAACCTGCCCCTCTAAAAAGAAAGCATTAAAGCATTTAACATGAGCATTTATGTATTATGGATATGTGTATGAATAAACATAAGAAAGGAACATTAAGGTGGACCCATAGGTATTCTGAGGCCCATCCTGGTTTAAACACCACTCCCGTACCCTGCTGCATCCTTAGATGTGACCTGCACAGCAGCTTCTTAGGCATTTCTGTTGTGCAATGGCACATGCCAACAAGTCAAGGCTGCCTTTTTACCTACTTGGCATCTTCTCTGTTTTCGAATGAGGTGCCCATGAGCAGCCAGATAGCCAGAAGCCAGAGGAAGAATAGATTAAGAACCTTTAAGAGGAGACAGGCTCTGGTGACTCACACCAGTAATCCTAGCTACTCAGGAGGTTGAGATCTGAGGATCGTAGTTCAAAGCCAGCCTGGGCAGGAAAGTCTGTGAGACTCTTATCTTCAATTAACCACCAGAACACTGGAAGTGGACCTGTGGCTCCAAGTGGTACCATACGAGCCTTGAGCAAAAGGAGCTCAGGGACAGAACCCAGGCCCAGAGTTCAAGCCCCAGTACTTGCAAACAAAACAACAAAACCAACCAAGCTTTGTTTCTAAACAGAAAGGGCAGTTTCCCAGGGAACCTGCAGTTGTGATGGGTTAGTTTCCAGAGTAGCACACTGAAGTGTACACTGAGGAAGACATGCAGAAAGCTGCATTCCTTAGTATAGAACAAAAGCCAAAGGTTCCCAGGTCCTGACTTCAAGTCCCAAGACTGATAAAAAAAAAAAAAAGCCTACAGAAGCTGAGTGCCAGTGACGCATGCCTGTTATCCTAGCTACTCAGGAGGCTGAGATCTGAGGATCACTACTTAAAGCCAGCCTGGGAAAAAAAAGTTCATGAGGCCCTTTTCCCCAACTAAGCACCCAAAAGCCAAAAGTAGAGCTGTAGCTCCAGTGGTAAAGCACTAGCTTTGGGCAGAAAATCTCAAGGAACAAGAATCTAGAGTTAGGGATCTGAGCTTTATGACTCCTGCGTCCCAACCCAAGGAGGTACATGGTCTGTGAGCATCGTGAAGAGCAAGGAAAGGGTCAGAATGCTAAAAAGGCTGGAGAACTGGCTCCTGGTCATGAAGACCAGCTGTGGGAGAAATCAGCTCAGGCAGAATCCTGGTTCCTAGGCTTCAGGAAAGCTTTGTAAGTCACTAAGATGAGCTTCCTCATCTGTGAGATGGGAATAGGTAACAGTAATGTCAGCTTCTGCTTCAAAGGCCAGTACTGCTTTCAGGCCACCCTAGGGTGCTGATGACAGAAAGAACACAAGGAGACGCCTGGCATGGCCACTGACCTGATCCCTCCTGCCCCATTCCAGCAGTTTCCTTTCTGTTTGATGTCCGTGAATATCACACGCATCGCTATCCAGGCCTTGAGGGAGGAGTGTCTCTCCAGGTGAGTCCTCCCCACTGCCACCAGCAGAGTCCAGGCCTGGCCCACCCCAGCCTTATTCTACACAACTCCCTTCCTCACCTGACAACTCCTCCAGAACCTGGTCAGAGTCTCCATGGGCCTGTCTTCTGGGCCAAACTGAGAAAGATGGGGCCTTCCTTGGTTAGAACATGGTGCTCCTAGGAGACCAAGAGGGAGGGCAGAAGAATGTGGAGGTGGTGGCCTCCAGCTGTGGCTAAGCAGATCACTTCCCTTGTCCTACAGGGAGTGTAATCGGCAACAAAAGGTTATCCCAGTGGTAAACAGCTTCTATGCCGCCACTTTCCTCCGCCTGGCACATGTGTGGAGGACCCAGAAGAAGACCATCTCAGACTCAGGCTTTGTCCTCAAAGGTGTGTTCTTTCTCCTGGTAAGGTGGAGGCCAAGAACACCTGTGTTCCCAGGTCCAAAGACCCCAGTGTGATTGTTAGATGGTTCTAGGCTGCACTCCCAGCTTCTGTCCAGTCCAATCTCTGGAGCCCACTTGTTTTCCATTATCTCCTACCACTTCTCTCCCTTTCCAGCTATATACCTGATAATCACATCTTCTGAAGCAAAAACCGGAAGCTGGAGCCCAGCCATTGGATTGTCTCTTCAGAGTTGAGATGGGTTTGTGGTCCCTGGGCTCTGTGGTTGCTCATCTTCCTCTGTTTCCTCCATCCTAGGAGACTTAGTTTTGTCTCGTAGGATAAGCGTTGAGGTGCTGGGCTTGAGGCCCTGTCTACTGAGCCATCTAAAGCTCCTTAAGCCTTCAGGTCCCCAATCCTTTCTGTTCCAGACTTGGAAGCATTGGCCAAGAAGAGCCCACGGCGTCTGCTCAGGACCCTGGAGATCTATCTGGCCCGGGTCTCAAAGGGCCAGGCCTCCTTGTTGGGATCCCAGAAGCATTGTGGGCCACAAGGCCATAACTCCAAGGATCTCACCTTCACTGGTGTGTGTGACCTGCAGCCTCACTCCTCTGAAGGTGCAGGACTGATCTGACCAAACCCAGAGACAGACGGGAGGAAGATTTGGTGGCTAGGCGACAAGCACTTTCAGAAGGTGTGTGGCTAGGCCAAGCCCCTTACCGCCTCAGCAGGTGAGATTAGGAAGCTCTTGGATTTGGTTAAAGAAAGGCAAGCACCTTCACCAGCCTGGAACATTCTCGAGCACTAGACTTGACCCCTTCTCTGGACCAAGGAGAACTCTGTTCATTCCCAGATGGGATCCAGTCTACAGTGTTGAATTCCAGATATCTCAATTTGAGGGAACAGATCCTGAGGGAACAGCCTTACCAGGTATTCCCATAACCCCATCTGGGAGGAAATTCCCAAGTAGAAGAAGCTAGAATTCCAACCCCCTAACAGCAATTGGGCTCCACTGTTAGGAATTCCAAGAGGAAAAAAAAGTGGTAATGGCTGCAGCCAGCAGAGGGCAGCATAACCTAGAAGAAACCTCTGCCTGGCTGACGGTGGGGTGGGGATGTGCTTTTCCCTCCAGCCACGGCATTTTCAGGGCCCTCTGAGCTTCTAGTCCTTACACTTGCCTAGCCTTCGCTTACCCCTCTCTTCCCCACATTGTTTATGATGTAGAAATGGACAAGTGGCTACTTTAGGATCTCTGTGGCTGCACCATCCTAACCACCTCTAGGCTGGAGCCTCTTGTGGAAGCTGACCCTTCCTTTGATGGTTTTCTGGCCTAGTTGGGTAAAGAAGGACATTCACTTAAACACCAGCAATTTTTAAATAAAAGAAATTATTCTAGTGTATGGGTCTCAGATATTTTCTTCCAAGACAGGTCTTGCAAGGCCTTCTTATGACTCTCTTGTCCCCGGTCTGGGGGAAGGGGAAAGAAGCAGGAGGCTATCAGTCTCTTCAGGGCCCTAGGAATGAGAAGTTGCACACTGGCTGAACTCCAGTTAAGCTTGCAGGAGTCCATTTTCCTTATGGCTGCACTTGCAGGACCAGAGACCCAGTGTAAGCTCTAGCCAGTGGGATGAGGTATCCTGGCTCTCATTAATGATAACTAGTAGGTCCACACTGGGTTTTCCTTCCAACCTTGGCTCGGTTGCTCCCCACTGACCAGGGAATCAGATCTGAGGCAGGAACAGATAAGAGACACACCAGGTTCCCGTTCTCCCTCAAGGGGAGCTATGGGTGACTGTTGCCCAACCCCTGCAGCCCTCTCTGGGACTGAATCACTAGAGGGGGTTCTATCCAAGTCTAGAAGGATCTTGTGACTACTGCCAGCAGTATGCCTCCAGATGTAGCTTCACCCCTGCAGTTTTGTCCTGCTTTGTTCCCAAGACTTCCTCTAGAACCTGTCCTCAGCTGACTGGCAGAGATGGCAGGAAAGTCACTGTGCATGAGGCAGGGGGAAGGGATGTTGAAAGACAGCTCAGCCTCCACTTGGGAGCAAATGTCAGGATATGTGGTTCCTCTCCATTTGCTTGTTCTCAGACTCATTTAGCAGGCTAAGAACACAGCTCCCAGCACATCAGGAACCAGGCCTTAAGGGTCCTGGGAGCCTCTGGCTGGAAGGGAGCCAGCGACCTCAGCAGGGGTGGCAGCAGCCTTTCTTTCCTCCAGACCAGAGTGCTCACGTATTCAGGCTTCAGGATAAGCCCAGGAATTTTTAAGCTGCAATTCTGCTGATGGCCTGGTTTGGGGATGGGAATGAGAATATGAGCCCTCTGAATACTAATGTTAATTCTATATTTTTCTTGGGAAAACCTAGGCATTTCATGGGAGACATAAAATACTAGATAGATCTAAAAATGAGAGGTGTACCCCCCCTCACTCTCAACCCTGTTTGTAAAAAAAATCCAGTCAATGACCATCTACACAGGAAGTTGTGCTTCAGTAAAATAGCTGAAGGTTGGTGGCTCATGCCTATACTCCTAGCTACTCAAGAGCTAGGAGCAGCGTGTTTTGAAGCCAGCCCAGGCAGGAAAATTTGTGAAATTCATCTCCAATTAAATACCAAAAAGCTAGAAGTGGAACTGTGGCTTGAGTGGTACAGTGCTAGCCTTGAACACAAAAGCACAGGGAAAGTGCTTAGGCCCTGAATCCAAGCCCCAGGACCAGCACAGACACAAAAATCCGGGGCATAAATTCCTGTGTAGATTGTCAGACAAGGGCTGGGAGAGGAGCACACACAGGACCTCATTTTTCTATGCTTCTGACATAGAATCAGCAAGATAAACTTGATGTTTGTTTATATGTGGGATGGAGAATCCATTGTGTCATAGCTCAAAAGCCACAATATTCCTTATGGTACAAAGGTAGGATGAGTCAGGGCAACTAGAGCCCTTCCGAGTCACACGGCCTCTGGTCCAGGCTCCCTTGGGTTCACACCCTGTCCTTGTCATGCACGTATACTCTAAGATGGGGCTTCTTTTTGGCTGCTTCTTTCTTCTTGCTATTTGGCACTCTTTCCTCTTTGATATTTTACTAGCACACCATTATACAATAAAATGAACTGAGTATCAATGGCTCATGCCTATAATCCTATCTATTCAAGAAACTGAGATCTGGAGAATTGAAGTTTGAAGCCAGTCTGGAGGCATGACTCAAGTGGTGAAGAGCCAATGCTGAACAAAAAAGCTGAGTAAACTGGGCACCAGTGGCTCCTGTCTGTAATCCTAGCTACTCAGGAGGCTGGGATCTGGGGAACAGGATTTGAAGCTATCTCAGGTTGGTGAGACTTACTTCAAATTAACCACAAAATGCTGAAAATAGAGCTATCACTCACTAACTTTGAGTAAAAGAGTTCAGGGACAACACCCAGGCCTAGAGTTCAAGCCCCAGTACACACACACACACACACACACACACAGAATGTAAGGTCCTGAGTTTAAGCCACATTACTGGGGGAGTGGGGGGGGGGAACACTGGTGTCTCATGCCTATAATCCTAGCCACTCTAGAGGCTGAAATCTAAATATTATGGCTCCAAGCCAGCCAGGATAGGAAAATCCATGAAACTCTTATCTCTAATTAATCACTGAAAGCCAAAAGTGGAGGTATGGCCCAAGTGGTAGAGCACTAGCCTTGAGTGAAAAAGCTCAGGGACAGAGCCTAGGCCCTGAGTTCAACCTCCATGACTGACAAAAAAAAAGGACCCAGGCCCTAAATTCAAGCCCCAAGACTGGCATAGAAAAACAAGGGGGAGGGCGTGTAAGTTACCCTGGAGCAGCAGGGTAAAAACAGCCAGGTCTATCAGCGCACCATTATCTGTGAAGAAGCTGCCAGATTTGTACTGCAGGCCACAATCCTCTAGTTCTGCCAGCATAATCATTCAAATCTGCCTTGCAGGAACTTTTTTAGGGTGTATAAAGAAATACTGGGACCGGGGCTGGGAAGGTGGCCTAGTGGTAGAGCGCTTGCCTTGCATGCCTGAGGCCCTGGGTTCAATTCCTCAGCACCACATAAGCAAAAAGAAAAAAGCCAGAAGTGGCGCTGTGGCTCAAGTGGTAGAGCTCTAGCCTTGAGCTGAAGAGCTGAGGGACAGTGCCCAGGCCTAGAGTTCAGGCCCCATGACTGGACCCCTTCCCCTCCCCCGCCCCCCAAAAAAGAAATACTGGGACCAGGGGCTGGTGGCTCACTAGCTATCGGAGGCTGAGATCTGAGAATCATGGTTCAAAGCCAGCCCAGGGAGGAAAGTTTGTGAGACTCTTATCTCCAATTAACCACTAGAAAGCCAGAAGTAGGGCTGTGGCTCAAGTGGTAGAGCACTTTGAGCTGAAGTTCTGAGGGACAGTACCCAGGCCCAGCCCCAGGAATGATAGGAAGGAAGGAAGACTGGGTCTAGTGGAGATTCATCCCAAGCCACAGACACAACCTTCTCCTGTCAGGGAATGTGAAACTGAACTAAACCCTAGCCAGCCCCCAGCACTTCCGGCACTTCTGTCTTGGTTTTGCAAAGCCAGTGCTGGCCCCTCAGAGGCTGTGGAATTGGCATCCGTGTCTTGCAGGTAGGACATAGGAATCAGCCCAGAGCAGGCAGCACAGGAAGAAAGCTGGAGAAGGCACTTGTTTTCCTTTATTTTCCATCTGCAGAGGGTACCTCAGCACTGACCCGGCAGCCAGAGGAAAGCATGGACAGGAAGCCCAGGGGTGGGGGAAGGGACAGAAGCAAACACAGAGACCCTCTCTCCCTCACTTCCAGTTCTTGAAGAATTGCTTGAAGATAGGACTCTCCCGGCCCTGGGGCAGAATCTCCACCTGCAGGACAATGGGAGAGAAATAAGGCTGACCTGGCGGCCATCTCTGCCTCTGCCAGAGAGGAAATGGCACCCTAGGCCCAAGTCTGTATGCTGTCTAAGCTAGAAATGCTCCCTCAGACAAGACCAGACACAAGATCACAGATACAAGCTAAGAACACATCATGGGCTGGGAATGTGGCCCAGTGGTAGAGTGTTTGCCTAGCATGCAGGAAGCCCTGGGTTCCATTCCTCAGTACCACCTAAGCAGAAAAAGCTGGAAGTGGTGCTGTGGCTCAAGTGTCCTAGCTTTGAGCAAAAGCAGCTTGGGGACAGTGCCCAGGCCTCAGTCCAAGACCCAGGCCCGCCAAAAAAAAATCTTATCAGGTGCATGGATGTAGTTTTGGAGATGCCATCAGTTATGGATGAGCTATATGGGAATGACTTATAGAATCCTTGTGCTGGGGTGACAAGAGGCTGTAGCAGCCAGAAACAGTGGCCAAGAGGAGAAATACAAGGTTCCCAGGGTGAAAACCAGCCCATAACATATTGCCCAACATCCTCTTTAAAATAACACTTTTTTTTTTTCTCCTGGTGCTGATATTGGGGCAAGAATGCAGAGCCGAGGTGCAGTCCCTTTGCTTTTTTGCTAAGGCTGGCACTCTTCCACTTGAGTCACTGCTTCACCTCTGGATTTTTGCTGGTTAATTAGAGGTACAAGTTTCACAGACTCTCTTGCCCAGGCTGGCTTCAACCTGCAATCATTAGATCTCAGTCTCCTGAGCAGCTAAGATTATAGGCATGAGCCACTGCAGCCCAGCAATTACACACCTGTAAATGGTGAAGGATTGAGAAGGACCTTCTCCAGGGTGGGTCTGAGAGGAGGTGTGAGTGTTCCTGACTCCTAAGGCTGTCCTGCTCCTTTTATCTGGTCTGAAGGGCGGGAGGCTTGGGAAGGGCCCCAGGACTAGGGGCTAGGGGTGTGGGTGTCTCTTTACCTGAGTGTTGGGGGCATACTGCATGCGGGAGATGAAGTCCTCAGCCACTTGGAGGGCCGCCTGCCTCTCCTTCTCATTAGCTTTTCGCCCTGGATAACAGAAAGAGATATTTTTTAAAAAGTGAACCTCTCTCATCTTCATCCATTTTTTTTTCTTTTTGGTTGGTTGTGGTGCTTGAACTCAGGCCCTCGGCACTGACCCTGAACTCTTTTGCTCAAGGCTAGTGCTCTACCACTTTGAGCCACAGAACCACTGGTTTCAGGTAGTTAATTGGAGATAAGAGTCATGTATTTTCCTGCCTAGGTAGGTTTTGAAACGTGATCCATAGATCTCAGCATCCTGAGTAGCTAGGATTACAGTTTTGAGCCACCAGTATCCCAGCTTTCATCCTACTTTAATTAAGCAAATTTAAGGCAGGGAAGGGTCACAGAATAGCTGACAACTTTATAAACAACTGGACCAGGAGATTCCAAGAATGTTAAGGGACTCTTTTTTTTTTGGGGGGGGGTCTGGTTGTGGGGCCTGAACTCTGGGCCTGGGTGCTGTCCCTCAGCTCTTCAGCTCAAGGCTAGCGCTCTACCACTTGAGCCACAACGCCACTTCCAGCTTTTTTCTTTTTGCTTATGTGGTACTGAGGAATCGAACCCAGGGCCTCAGGCATGCAAGGCAAGCACTCTACCACTGAGCCACCTTCCCAGCCCCTCCTGGGAAAATTCTTTAGCAACTGACTTCATACTGCTAAAGAGTCCCTCAACAGGCCAGGGAAGGTGGCAGGAAAGTCCTTGAGACTCTTATCTCCAATTAACCACAAGAAAACCGGAAGTAATAAAGTGCTAGCCTTGAGCAGGGACAGCTCCCAGGTGGAGAGTTCAAGCCCCTCAACTGACAAAAAAAAAAAAAAGAATATCACAACCTGGGCATTGGTGACTCATGCCTGTAATCTTAGCTACTCAGGAGTAAGAGAGAGAGAGAGAGAGAGACAGCACTACAGAAATCACCTACGCCTTCAGGCAATGCCTGTGCTCGTAAGGAGGGCAGCTTCCCTAGGACAGATACTCTAGTCAGGCTCTCAGAGTCCTCAGAAATACAGAGGATCTGAAACTAACCCTCTGGGTCCTTCCTCAGTGAACTGCCCAGCTCCACGCCAACCTATTTTCTTTCTTGGCCTCCCAAGTTTCCTGTCTCTCCTCTGCTTTCTCTTTCTGCAATGGTTCCTTGCTTGAGGATTATAGACCCTTTTATGGGGCTTGACATTGGCCTTAGGGGTCACATGAGTCTCAGCAATAGAGGGCTAGTCTCACCCTAAGGGTTAATTAATGTTTCTTAATCTTTAGAAACTTGCTAGTGGACTTGCTGCTCCAGGTCAGTTCCTGCAACAGCAAGTCACCACTATTCCTAACCAGAATAGGAACTAGTGATTTCTCAGCCTTGGTTCATTCAACCCTATCTATTGAGCAAATGCGGTGTCATCAAGAGCTTCAGGGAAGTACAGAAATTTATAATCTGATCAGGTAAGAAAAGATGAAGAAATGACAACTAGCTGGCGCCAGTGGCTCATGCCTATAATCTTAGGAAGCTGAGATCTGAGGATCATGGTTCAAAGCCAGCCTGAGCAGAAAAGTCCGTGAGATTCTTGTCTCCACCAGAAAACCCAAAGTGGCATTGTGACTCAAAGTGGTTGAGTGCTAGCCTTGAGTGAAAAAGCAAGGAAGGAAGGGGGAGGGAGAGAGACAGAAAGAGAGAGAGAGAGAGAGAGAGAGAAAGAAAGAAAGAAAGAAAGAAAGAAAAAGAAAGAAAGAAAGAAAGAAAAAGAAAATCACAGAAAAGTGCCTGGATACTCAGGATCTTTAGTTTCAATATTTTCCTATCGTCAAAGCCAGACAGGCTTCTGCCCAACAGCATTTCTTTCTAGTTGATAACACCTCTTTCCAAAACAAGTTCTGCTAGTTTTCTTTGTACCTCATAAAGTGACAATTTATCTAAAAGTTACCTCTGTCACACCTCATGACAAAAATCTTTGGTCAGGGGACCAAAAGCTCTGGAGGCCTAGGAAAGAGCTAGGACAATGATTCTCAAAGTGTGTTCTCTGGAATTACAGGGCACCCCTTGGGAACCTGTTAGGTATACATGCTCAGGATCCACCTCCAAAAGTGAATCTCTGGGGCAGTGCCCAACAATGTGTTGACGCAGGTTCTGTGGATTCTGAAGCTGGCTTTACTTAGAGAGCCACCACCTAGATTTATGGGGTGGGAGTGGCCACCAAGGGGCAGGCTGATCCATGCAGTGGAAAACCTATTCAGCTCAGGACAGCTACAGAGACCTCAGGCTGGTGGGAAGGAGCCACACATACCCTTCCAGATGTAGATCTTGCCACAGAGCCCATTGTCCAGCACAAAGCAGTCATCAGGGATCAGCAGCTCCAGGGCAAAAGGGCTGGAGTCTGCCACCTTGGTCAGGTTCATCTGTCCAGTGGCATCAGAGACCTAGGAAGGACAGGCAGCATTCACATCCCAATCATCACCTGAGCCCAAGGCTGCTGCCCAGGCCTGCCTCTTCGGTGAGCCTCAGCCCCATCACCGAGGAGCAAATGGTAGAAAATAAGCTCTGAAAAGCAAACCCAAGGTGCCCTTCTCCAACCCATCACCTCACTCACCACACAGCACTCAGGCCCTAAATTCATTTCAGAATGCACAGATTTAAAAGAATTAAAACTCAGTCCTGGCTTGAAACCTTCACTAAGAAGGGACCAGAAGTGAAATGGCATTTATCGCCGACCATCTCCCCAACTCCCACCCCTTTCCCTTTCCCTTCTCCCTCCCCGCAATACGGATGTCTGCCTCTGCAACCCCTGCATAAACTCCCCTGGTTCCTACATCCACCTTCCTACATCCTCCTCTTGTCTTCAGCCCCAAGGCCCCCTCAGCTGCTCTAAGTAGGCTCCTACCCGCTCACTGGTCCCAGGGGAAGGTCCCACCTTATACAGAGCTGCAGCCTGTGCATTGGTCTGGTCAGCTGTGAGGTCTTCTTCAGGGTTGCCCTCCTTCAGAGCAGGCTTGGGGCCCAGAACCTGCAGGAACCAGAGCAGATCAAGTAGGGTGGGAGTTCTGCCCCAAAGCTTCCAAGCCATCACACCCAGATTAGATGTATGTGTGAGTGTGAGTGTGTGTGTGTGTGTGTGTGTGTGTGTGTGCTGCCATAAACTAGAACCTTTCCCTTTTTTTCTGCCCATGGTGAGTGCTCACTTATACCACCCCTCAAGATCTGCCAGAGTCTGTCAGACTTCTGCTGGGCTGGATTTGAAGTACAATCCTCAGATCTCAGCCTCCTGAGTAACTAGGATTACAAGCACGAGCCACAGGTGCCCAGCCCACATTAGATTTCTAAGATAACAAATTAGATTTCTTTTCAATACTATTTATTTCTATAACATATCCATTGCATGATCAATTATAGAATGTATGATATATACACTAAGACTCAAATACTAGCAATTATTTCTCAATTGACACTGAATTACCATTTAAACTATAAATGTAGCTCTTTCTCAGCATGCTCTTATGGGGTACATTTTTGGGGGGGGTCCGGTTGTGGGGCCTGAACTCTGGGCCTGGGCGTTGTCCCTCAGCTCTTCAGCTCAAGGCTAGCACTCTACCACTTGAGCCACAGCGCCACTTCTGGCTTTTTTCTTTTTGCTTATGTGGTGCTGAGGAATCGAACCCAGGGTCTCAGGCATGCAAGGCAAGCGCTCTACCACTGAGCCACCTTCCCAGCCCCCCTATGGGGACATTTTGTCCCACACTAGCGCCCCAAGCAGAAATGATCCAGGGCTGAGTCCACTCTACCCATACCCAGGGTGCTTGTCCCAACTGTGCACCTGGAGGGGCTGCTTATTCTTCATCACACAGAAACACTATGTGAGCTAGTCATAGCCCCAAGTAGTGCCCCTACCATCCTCTATCTGCCATCCACACACTTCTGGCCTATCACTGCTGCTGGCCATCTGGCCATCCACCCCAGTATTCTCCAACCTGGATCATCTCCGTAGGCTCTTCCCCATCAGTGATGATCTCCACCTGGGCCTTGCCCTGCCGCTCACTGTCCCGGATGGCCAAGGCCAGGTCTCTCGCCTTGTTGCGCTCCAGGATGTTGGACTTCCCACCACACCAGGCAAAGATGTTCTGCAAGGAAGCAAAGAGTCCAGTCATAGCCAGCTGCCTGAGTCCTGCCCCTGCTCTCCTCCCTGAAGAACTGTCCCCAGAGGCAGATGATCAAGGAGACAGAGGCCTCAGAGAAAAGCAGTGACAACACTCTGTGAGAGTGCTTTTTGCCTGTCACTTCTCTCACCGTTTTATTTTTCACCACATCATGTCATATACTTAAGCATATTTCTCTTTTCTTCCTTCTCTTAAAAGTAAGCTTCAGAGAAAAGATGTTATTTTGTGTCAATCCTGGGGCTTGAACTCAGGGCCTGGCACTGTCCCTGAATGTTCTTGCTCAAGGCTAGAATTCTACCACTTGAGCTCCACTTCCATTTCCAGAGTTGTAGGGGTGTGTGTGTGTGTGTGGTGTGTGTGTGTGTGTGTGTGTGACTGATAGAGAGCCCAGGGCTTGAACTCAGGTCCTGGGCCTTGTCCTTGAGGTTTTTGTTTTTTACTCAAGGTTAATGCTCTACCACTTGAACCATAGCTCTACTTCTGGTTTTCTGGTGGTTAAATGTAGATAAGAGTATCACAGACTTTACTGCCCAGGCTCACATCAAAACACAACCTTCAGCTCTCAGCTTCCTGAGTAGCTAAGATTCAGATATGAGCCACCGGTGCTTGGCTTAAGAGATGTTTTCTTTTGTGTTGTTACCTGGCATTCACCCACTGCTAAAACAGAGCTGGCACATATTTAGATACAAAGTAAATCTGTACTGAATGAGTGAATAAAAGAGTGAATGAGGGGCTGGGAAGGTGGCTCAGTGGTAGAGTGCTTGCCTTGTATGCATGAGGCCCTTGGTTCAATTCCTCAGGACCACATTAGCAGAAAAGACCAGAAGTGGCATTGTAGCTCAAGTGGTAGAGCACTAGCCTTGAGCTGAAGAGCTGAGGGACAGTGCCCAAGCCCAGATTTCAGGCCCCAGGACCGACAACAACAACAACAAAAGGTGAATGAATGGGCTGGGAAGGTGGCTTAGTGGTAGAGTGGTAGAGTGCTTACCTCGCATGCATGAAGTCCTGGGTTCGATTCCTCAGTACCATATACACAGAAAAAGCCGAAAATGGGAGCTGGGAAGCTGGCTCAATGGTAGAATGGTAGAACACCATTCTACCATTGAGCCAGTGTGTATATATATATATATACACACACACAAACTAAAGGACAATTGTCTAGGCCCTGAATCCAAGCCCTAGTACTGGGACACACACACAAAAGAAGAAAATATTCAGGGAAAAAAAAAACTGCATCTGAACTGAACAGACTTTTTTTTCTTTCTTGTTATTATTCCCTAAACAATATAGTGAAACAACTTTTCACAGCATTCACAATGTAATATTAGGAGTCATGGAAAATATAGGAGACTTGAGCATCCATGGATTTTGGTGTCCCTGGTGGGGCTTGGAAATGATTCCTTGTGGATGCTAAGGGCTAAATATAAGGACTTCCTTTCATGCTTGCATCGATCCACTGGGAAAGCTTACAGTTTCTTGACTCCTCTCCATTTTCCCAACTCCAGGCCCTGCCGCCTTCAATTATAGCCAACACAAGTGCCCGGTCTGGACATCTACCCACATGGCCCAGGTCCAGGATGAAGCAGTCCCCAGTGTTGAAGCTGTCCCAGCTCAACGCTCGCTCGGTGGCACGGATGTTCTTTTTCCCTTTCACCTGGTAGAGTTTCTTGATGACAGCTGGGGTGGCACCGGAGGCCGTCTTGTGAAATGCTGACTCAACACCTCCTTCCTGCAAACCAGAAGGCTTGGCTGAGATGGCTGATAGACCCAGATCCCTCTGCACCCCTTCCCATTGGAAGATAGGAAGAAAAGGGGAGAAACATGATTGAGTGTACTGGGGAAGCTCTGACAGAGTACAAACTAGCCAGAAACAGGGTTGAGCCAGGTGCCAGTGGCCCAAGCCTATCATCCTAGCTACTCAAGAGGCTGAGATCTGAGGATAACAGTTTGAAGCCAATCCTGGAAGGCAAGCCCATGAAACTGTTATCTCCAAGTAATCACCAAAAATCTGGAATTAGGGGTATGGATCAACAGGCAGAGGCCAGGCCCTGAGTTCAAGCTCCAGTACTAGCGCACACACACACACACACACACACACAAATAACAGAAGCAGAAGCAATGTTGACTCTGAGAGAAGGCCCAGGGGTGGGTGTGTGGAGGCGGGTTCTGACCTGGTATTTGAGGCCCTTTGGGAAGTAGCTCATGAAAAGGTCAGACTCATTGCCCTGTACTTCACGATGTTGCACAGGCCTCTCTCCAAGCAGGGTATTGAGGTGCACAGCTAGCACAGCACAAGCCCCCTGCTCATCCCGAGATGACTGCTGGCCTGGGACAGGTGGGAGGGGACAGGAAAAAGCCTTTGAGAACCATGCCAGCCTCCACCCCTGCCCAGGCCACATCCCTCACTCAGCCCAACCCATTTACCTATCCACAGGTGCAGATGAGAGAGCTCTTCTGGGCCATTGTGCAGCACTAGGTAAGAGTCTCCTGAGAAGAAGATGCCCTGGTTCTCACGTGCCACAGGCACTGGCTTTAGCTTCTCCACTCGCCATATGTGCAGGCCGGGATCTTGTACCGAGGCTGGGAATGGAGAGCCACTGTGGGAAGGGAGAGAGGGTTGGCAGTGTTCAGGGCCCACAAGGAGAGACCTGGCTCAAGGAGAGACCTGAATAGGCCTGGGCCTGAGGTCTGGGAATGAGGACAGCAGTGCAGAGGGAGGAGAAGCCCTTGAAAGGAAGAGAAATATGGGAAGGGGATTGAGGAGATGGGACACATTACCTACCTCTGGGGGATTGGTGTGTACATACTGTTTCCAGATCTGGAAAGAAAGAAGCCATAGTTATCACAAAGGCCACAATAATCACCTCTTACACTGGTCTGGGGAAGCCTATCCAGGAGGCCAAGTTTTCATCAACTAATATATATATAGATATATCTGTATATATATATTCTTTATATATACATATACTTTGTATATATTTATACATATTCATCAACTACTTGACATCTAGGAGCCCAAGAAAAGATTGTCCTGGCTTTATTACACAGGCAAAATAATAATAATAAGGCAGAGACAGTAAGACCAAGATCACATAGCTAGTGAGGGTAGTTCATGGAAACTAGATCTCAGACCTCTAGGCCAGTGTCTTCTTCCTGCCATGACTTCTCATTCTTCTCATCTATCCTGAATCCTGGATATTGTGCAAACTTGGGGTATAGATTTCTGACGAATCACTGCTTATATTAGAAAAGTTTAAAATCAGCTTGGCACCAGTGGCTCATACCTGTAATCCTAGTAACTACTCAGGAAGCTGAGGTCTGAGGATCACAATTCAAAGTCAGCCCAGGCAGAAAAGTTCATGAGTCTTTTTTTTTTTTTTTCCGTTGGCTGTGGGGTTTGAGCTCAGGGCCTGGACACTGTCCCTAGGCTCTTGAGAGCTCTACCACTTTGAGCCATAGTGCTACTTCCAGTTTTCTAGTGGTTAATTGGACATAAGAGTCTCATAGACTTTCCTGATGGGCCTGATTTTAAATTACATTTCTCAGATCTCAGCCTTCTAAGTAGCTAGGATTACAGGTGTGAGCCACCAGCATCTGACTTGTAAGACTCAATTACCAAAAAAGCCAGAAGCGGAGCTGTGGCACAAGTAGTAGAGTGCTAGCCTTGACCAAAGGAAGCTTAGGAAACCAGGCATGTCATGCCTGTAATCCTAGAGGCTGAGATCTGAGGATTGTGGTTCAAAACCAGCTGGGACAGGAAAGCCCTTGAGATTCTTTTTTTTTTTTTTTTTGTGGTCAGTCATGGGGCTTGAACTCTGGGCTTGGGCACT